TTTAATAATTTTCTTTGAATCATAAAAGGACTTGGCAATGTTTCACCTTCTGGAAGCACATCTTTTAACAACTCTAATAGCATGGAAAATGATTTGTTACTCCATCCATTGAGACACTTTAAGTGTAATAGGCGAACAAGGAACGAAAGTAGTGAATACTTTCTTCCAAGATATAACTCACGTTCAGCTTCTTTCAGTAAGCGAAAGAATTCTCTAGTCTTCTTATCAAAATCCATGTTATCTTGATTTGACCCATCAAATCCTTCAGCACTAGTGTCCATATCAACAAAAGATGTAGGAGGAATTCCAAATGCTTCATGTAACATGTCTTGCATCTCATGATCATCACCTTTATCTAACTGATTGACCAATTTTGATGAAAATAGCTCCTCACCATGATAAATCCAACTAGTGTAACTAGTTAGAAATCCATCAACCACAATATGTTCAACAATCAAATCTTTTCAAACAAATTTCATATTACGACACTTTCGACATGGACACAATATTGCAGATGCATCTGGACTATCTAATGATGCAAAATGAAGAAACTCTTTGGCTCTATTCTCATATAAAGGATCAAGCCTATTCAATATATTTATCCAACTTTTATCCATTAAGTATATAACCTATACATATAGCAAACAAGAATTATACCCTCATACTATTAAAGACTAATACCTCCATACTATTAAAGGAAACAACAAAACACATACTAACCTGCAAAGTCCACACAAAGAGTCCTGAAATTGATATCAATGTTCTTCCACTACGGTTGCTTTCTTTGTAATCTTCAAACTGCAAATCAATAGTTAAATTTCAACAAATCAATATAATGTATGAAGGCTAGTCATGTGAAATTATCAATACTTGAGGTAATATACTCACCTCAAGTAAATCAACTAGTAAAAAAAAAGAGGAAGAGAGACAAAAGATGAATCTAACGGAACAATGAATACAAATGTAATGGTACATCATTACAGGTTCTTCTCCAAGGCTTGTACATGATGCATCTAAATTGCTAGATAAAAGAAGCCAACTAGGCAAAGTGACCAAGCTGACTTAACAAATAAGACGTCTTGCATTATATGTTGGAATTTACTTGGTTCTTGTTGTTTCAATATATAAACGGCAAAGCTTTTAAAAACTGAAACTATAAAGTTGCTCTAGGACTACATAAAATCCACATGCTTCCACTCAAACTTATGATCATGGGCTCACACTAAGCTATATATATATATAGGATGGCAATATTGAGCAGTAACATCAAGTAAATGACTAAGATAAAGAACATATTGAAATCAGGATAGAGATTTTTATATTTAGACAAAGATAGGAGGTGGCTTATTATCAACTTAATACCACAATTAATAAGTATGGCCAGACAGAGCAATGGTGTACCAATGCAGTATCAACCACCTACGAAACATCGGTATGGAGATCTATAAGGAATCTTTGGCCTAGACTAGTAAATAATTCATGTTATCAGGTGATTGCTGGGAACAAAATACTATTTTGGAAGGACCTATGGATTGGACAAGAAGTTTTAATGCAAGTTTTCCCTGATCTGGCCAATATATGCACTAACCTTGAGGTTACAGTGGCTGATAGCTGGGGATGGAACTTCTTCTTCAGGAGGCATGTTAATGACTGGGAAATAGGCAGGTTTGTGGAGCTATTGCAGATGATTGATGGTTTCAAAGGCACTACTGTAGAGGATGACGCTTTTAGATGGAAACATGATAAGGATGGCAAGTTCTCTGTAGGTAGAATTTATAGGAAAGAGGTATCCTGGCTGCCTGAAAACAAAATAGGCCCTTGGAAGCATGTATGGAAAAGTATGGCTCCTACTAAGGTCAAGTGCTTTGCTTGAGCTTGCCTCACTTATGAGATCCTACAGAAAAAGGGATTGCCAATTGTGTCCAGATGCATGTTATGTAGTGACGCTAGAGAGACAAATAATCATATGTTCCTCTATTGTAGAGTCACATCTCAGCTTTGGACTATGTTCCTCAGTTTAACAGAGACAAAATGGTCAATGCCAGAGCACACAACAAACTTGTTAAGTTGCTGGATTAGGAGAGGGGGAAGCAAGACACAGAAGAAGTAGTGGATAATAATCCCACACTGTATCTGCGAATGGAAGAAACTTTGAAGATAGATTCAACAACATTCAGAAAATCAAAGTGAGCTGCATAGCAAACTTTCTACTTTTGGTGTAAAGAACATTGTATAGAAAATGTTGAACAATTAGTAGATCTTTTAGGATTACTGTAATTAGTCTCTTGTTCTAGCTTGTTACTACCTTTATGGAGGTCTCTAGCATACCTTAATGCTGAGGAATATAACATTACCAATTTTTTTAAAAACAATTAATAAGGACAATTAAGATTCATAATCCATGCTCAACTAGATCACTGTAACATGCAAAATATACTACAGATGTAGTACAAATGATAATCACAGAGAACAAGATTCATATAGGGAAAGAAACTACACGTGTTTAATACTAAATTGGACACATATATAAGAAAATATTAACATAAGGAATCTGATTTAATACCAGACATGTCAAAGGCTTCATTACAACACCATCAAGAATACTATAGAAGTGTATTGCCAACACTCTCATACTCTAAAAAAATAATGAGCAACGTATGACAACAGAGGACATGTATAAGACATTTCTCCCCTAAAACAAGATATGAACAGTTTTTTGAATATTCTTTGAAGAATACAAACTCAAAATTCAACTTATATTCAAAATCTGTTGAATGTGCAACTCATAACTCATTTGGCACCCTCCAAACACATAATGAAATCATGAATACTATTTCAACAATATAAGAACAGAACAATATCATGATGAACCAATGAAACAAGCTAAAACATGAGGCAGGCATAGTGACTATAGTCTCCCGATCCTATGACTGCCTAAAAATCATAATCATGTGGTGTAAGACCTAATAAGGGTGATCAACTAAGAACTAAAGAATAGAATATGCAGTCAACTGATAGGAAAAATAATATAACATCACAGATAGACTCAAGGCAGCATCATTACCAAGAAGAAGAGCCAAATCAGCAGGAAGAACAGTGGCAAACTCTAAAAAAGAAGAATAACAAAAACAATACAAATAATGAGGAGAGACCTAAGACACCTCAAGAACAGATGGATCAGGTAGATTCCCAGAAAAGTCAGAGTCATATAGGTAAAAATATTATTACTCATAACTCTTATACTAATCTTGTTGAACCAAATTAGTCCAACAGTCAAGGTACATGCAAACATCATCGTGAATACAAGGCACCGGCTAGGAAAACATGATCTGTCTTATATTAGTATAGTTAGTACTGGTAATTAATTGAGTTCTGTTGTAGCTATTCTTATTTTCAATTATTTTCATTTTTGCAGAGAATTCCCAATTGAGAATGGGAAGGCATTGCAGTTCATTTATAGCAGCAAGCAGTTCAAGACAAATGGAGGTTTGGCAGCTGGAACTGCAACTACCAACGTATATCGTAACACCCCTTAGGAAAGATAACCATTAGCTTAATGGCATCCTAATATCTTACTCTTCGGATGCCATTAAGAAAAGATAACCGTTCTTAAAGCATGTCTCTAGCACACATAGCAGCAAATGGAAAAGAACAGAATACCTTAATGTATTTTCTAAGTTATAAACATGAAAATAAACTACTTAATAAACATGAATGTTTTTCAGTGAACTTCAACACTAGGTTCCTATAAGAACAAAATAAGAACATGTTGTCTGGTCATCATCTTCCTCAATTGAAGTTCTAATCGATTCTCAAAGCAGGGACATTCTAAACAATAACTTTAACTATTTTTGTTCCTCCTCATCCTCTAATAATGGTTTCTATCCTCCTGCACCTAATCATGAATATTTTACTACTACTGCTGATGCTTATACTCTCTCGACTCCCCAGGATATTGATGAACGTCAATTGATTCTCAACCTTACCCTTTGTTTGTAACAGAAATTTACTACTATCTGTAGTTATCCCTTTTCTGCTAACTCTTATTAATTAAGAGGAAACTCTCTGTATTTTTATCTTCTTCTTCTTTAGAATAGCGCCCAAACTCAAACTGTTACCCCACGATTTGAACACAAGCAGAAAACAATCGATTATGAAACTAGAAAGGAAAATCGATTATGAGCATGCTAAAACTAGAAAAGAAAAAAATTACAACAACTTGTTCACAGATTCGTTCACAGTACAGTAACTCAATGAAAATTGAAACAAAAACCGTACGCACTCAAAATTATTGAAATTAAAACCGTAAAGAGGAAGGAGAAATTACAGTACCTCGTTCACAAATTTCTTTGTTTGAGCAATGTGCTGAGGGCCTGAGGCGATATACAAATAACTCTAGACTTTAAGCAGGAGTAGGGTTTTTTTTTATAAAAAAAGTTTCTTAGTACTAATAGGAGGGAATATTTTATTGTAGTAGAAAAATTAGAGGGAAAAGTTAATAAATTTTATTTTACTTTAATAAACTTAAAATGAAAGTTTTATTTTTAAGCCAATTATTTCAACTTATACTATAAACTTTCACTGAAGCTGGAAAAAATCTATAAAATCCAATCACTACAACTCAAACTATAAAGTTGCTCTAGGACTACATAAAATCCACTTACTTCCACTCAAACTATAAGCTTTCACTCAGAAATTGCATAAAATATACAAAGTTATATTGTTTCCACTGAAACTACACAATTTCGCCACAAACTGCATATAATCTATAAAATCCCACTATTTTCACTGAAAAATGCAATTAGTACAAAATTCAACATTATTTTTGCTAAAACTACAAAATTAATTTCACTAGAAGCTGCATATATAATCTACAAAATCAAACTACTATCAATCAAATTCAACTGATTTTCTCACTAATAAATTAGGTTTAAAATGGATCGAAATGTGTACCGTCACGTTTGAGGGTTTTAGAGTGAACGAGAACACTTTGGATCAATTCATTCTTTACCAATTGGGCTAGTCCTCGCAGACCCTTTCATTTCTCCCTTGGGGTTCACAATCACACCAGCATTATCTTCAAAGTACATGAAGACACAGTCCTTTCGGCGCCATGGCTTCCGCTGACGAATAATGACAATAGGCATAACCTTCTTCCTGAGATCTGGCTTACCCTTCTTCACAGTAGCCATTACCATATCTCCAACACAAGCTGAAGGCAATCTGTTAAGCCTTCCATTGATCCCTTTCACCGATATGATGTACAAGTTCTTAGCACCAGTATTATCGGTGCAGTTCACCGTCATCGCCACCGACAGACCCGACGGAACCTCATCTTCCTCGTTTCGACATCCCGGATGGTGTTGTTCTTCACGATCCCAAAAAATCTGAAGCCTATAGTCGAGATTGACAGAGATGATGGAAGTGAAGGAAGAAGTGTGAAATAAATCCTCACTTTGGGAATTTTCATCAAAATTAGTTTTGTATACAATGCTATTTAGTTTTGTGAAATGAATTTATAATTTTATTAATTATATATTGTATTTTTAAATTAGCTTAAAATTCTACATCCTTCAAAATCAAAAGGAAAATGCATTTTCCTATCCTTTGAATTATACACAAATGAATTTATTTTTTGGATAAAAAATTTCCTGACGTAAATAAACGTGATTTAATTTTAGTTTTATCCTTTTTTGTGAGTTTGCATTTATCCATTTTAAAATACATATTATTATTATTATTATGATCATCATTACTACTATTATTAATAATAATAATATTATTATTTTTATTTGTTAACAATTTGCCTTTTACATTTAAACTGTATTACTAAAGAGGAAATTTTAAAATTCAAATTAAAAAACAATAACAAAATTTTAATTTTAGGAAGAAAAAAAAGAAACATAAATTATTTAGTTTATTACTCTTTTTTTATTTCTTTTTGGTTAATTTAAAAATCATGTTCAGACGATTTTTAAACTATTTAGAAACATAGAATTATTTAGTTAGTTACTTTTTTAAAATTTTTTGATTAGTTTAAAAATCATGTTCAAACGATTTTAAAATTATTTAGACACGTAGAATTATTTAGTTAGTTACTTTTTTAATTTTTTTTGGGGAAAATGCATAAGTACCCCCCAGCCTATGCCCAAAATCCCTGATACACACTTAACCTTTACTAAGGTCCTATTACCCCCCTGAACTTATATTTTAATTAATTTTCTACCCCTTTTCGGCCTACGTGGCACTATCCTTGAAAAAATTGTCAACACGCGCTGGGCCTACAAAATAGTGCCACATAGGTCGAAAAGGGGTAGAAAATTATATATAAAATAAGTACGGGGGAGGGGGGTAATAGGACCTTAGTAAAGGTTAGGTGTGTCTCAAGGAATTTGGGCATAGCCTGGGGTGGGTGGGTAATAGGACCTTAGTAAAGGTTAGGTGTGTCAGGGAATTTGGGCATAGGCTGGGGGGGGGTACTTATGCATTTTTGGTTAATTTAAGAATCATGTTCAGAAGATTTTTAAATTATTTAGAAACATAGAATTATTTAGTTGGTTAATTTTTTTAAATTTATTTTTGGTTAATTTAAGCTACAGATATAAAAGATTTTTAAATTATTTTTAAAATTTTACATTTTAAATTTTAAAATTGTTGAATTTTTGTGGTGCTGACATGTGCACTTTTTACTTCTCTTATTATATATAGGAGAAGTAATACCAAATTTTTATTACTATTTATTTAAAATAATTTATTTTTAATAATATTGAATTTTTATTATTATGTTTAAATATAATTAAGAAAAAAGAGAGCAATTTTTTGGAACACTCATAACTAAACAACTGATTTGCATTTCAAAAGAAGTCATTTGACAATTTTTAAACCATCTTCTCTAATTATTTGGCTTCATGTAAATGTTTTGAATTGTTATGTTTTAGATCTATATCTCACCTATATTGGAGGTAATGGGGACGTGGGTGAGGATTTGTGGGGGTATTAATTTAGATAGGAGAACTTTTTTTTTAAAATAAATAAATAAATTGAATGTTAAAAATATGTAAAAATTTGAATTGGTTATAATATTTTAATGGTAACTTTTATTTTTTAATGTTCAAGATATAAATTTTTAAATTTTAAATTTAACTTTAATTATTTAAAATAATATTAAGAGTAATTAATCCTATTTTGCTAATGATTAGTGAAAAAGTAACAAAGAATATTCTTTTTCTTTTAATTCATATGCTAAATTAACTACAATGATAATACTATCAAAAATAAAAACAATTTAAAGCTCTAAAGCAGGAATTGTTTATGTTTTGCATCCTCCGTTCTCTTATTAAAGGAAGTTATTAAAGGAAGAAAGAGAAGTATTTAAATATTTAATGTGTTACTTATTATTATTTTTATTTAGTATTTTAATTTATTAATTAATAATTCATTCAAATTAATTAATACAATTGTAAATTAAATACATTCACACTCCTTTGAAGTAGGATAATTAACACTAAATGTACTTTTCCATGAACATCATAGTAATAATGTAGTATAAACCTCTTGACATAATCAAATGATGTTTAATCCTATAGTAATATTTCCTCAGCAAACACAACTGGACTGTTTAGTTGACGCTTAAGAATCTAAGGCTTTTAGTAGAATGTTGCCCTTGAATATAATCACATACAATCAGATGTACCTAACCTTCAACACAATAACCATGTAACTTAGCAGATTTTTATATCATACTCTAATCAAACTCTGAACTTCAATAATGAATTTCCTCTGGGCTTTGTTGCTCCACATCTTTCGCCTTTAAATCACTATAATAAAAAGGATAAATAAGCCCATCCAACTAACAAATAATGGAGAATGAAAAGATTAAGTGCATGAGAGGGAAAATGTAAAAAGTCATAAGAAAAAATAGAATGGTTCACTACCATAAACTTCTTTCACAATATGTCGTACATTTCTTCTTCTTCTTGCATACCAAAACTGTTTTTGTGTTAGAGAAGAGATAAAAGAATATTGCGATTTTGTTAATTTTGATGTTGATATATTTGTTTGAATATGAATTTAAAGAATTAGTTTCCAGAGTAGTTTTAAGATGGTGTTTTCCAGCGTTCTATAACTCATTCCCGGACTTGACTCAAGCAAATTTGAAATGGGTTGGGTCTTGACCCGTTTGTTGTCTTTACCCATTAAATGACTAGTATTGAGAATGATTTCTTTCTCTAACTTATAATTTTATTTTGAATGTGCTGGAAAATGCGGGTGATTGAAATTGAATAGTGGCCAGAAGTAAACTCGATTGTAGTGAACGATAAAGATTTGTTGTACTGTTGCCATATATGTTTGGATGCATTTGATTTTGTGGAATTTATTGCTAGTAGAGATCCTTAAGCAATTGCTTTCAAAGTATGGGTTGTACACACTACAACATTTTAGGCCTATGACTACACTAAATCTAGACAATGCTTGTAAAGTGTTGCCTAAAATGTTTTTGGATACGCTTTAAAAGCATAGCCAATGTTTTTAACTTTTGACTTCGATAATATTGACATCTTTTGTAAAAGGTACTCTTTAATTATATAGGCTACACTTTAGAAGTGTTGTTATATAATTATGATACAATTGGCAACAAATATTTATATATATGGCCACACTTTTAAAATATGTTATTTTTATAATTGAAAAAAACAACACATTACAAGTGTAGCCTTAATATTTTCACTAAAATATTATATTCCCTCCAACATTTTCAAGTATCCCTCCAATTTTTAATTGGGAAAAAAATAAAAATTCATAAAACATTAAAACTTTTTTTTCTCCCAAATCACAAAAAAAATTCGTCAAATTGAAGAACACGCTCTTTAGGATTTCTCTCCAAGTATGAAGAACACAATTTCCATCAAACTTTCTCACAGATTTCTTGTTGAAGATCTGAAGAGCTGTTCCGTCATATTCTCGCTGAAGAGTTGTTCTCGCTAAAGGTTAGGCCTCACAGATGAACACACCTCATTAAAAGATTTCTTGTTGAAAATTGAACAAAATGCTTCACTTGAGAAGATGGTATCTTAAAGCTTCATCACATTGAAAGGATTTTGTTGGATTAGGGTTTATCAGGTAAGTAATTCAATCTTTGAAAGTCTAAATTTTAGGTTTAGGATTTTGATATTCTTGTGTTGTTGATACAATTTTTGTTGATTTTTGGAAGTCTAACTCGTAGATGTATTACCCACATCAGTTGATTCTTTGCCCTGAGCATTAATAACTAAATAAGTATAAATGGGCTGATTAGGGCTGATTCTTCACTTGAGAATTTCTTTTTTATTAGGTTTATAAGTTGATTAGGGCTGAAATCGTCCATGATAGTGTAGCGAAAAAATCAGATGGCATCAGCAATGATGGTCCATTAGGATCAGGAAAGACTACTCTTCTCAATGTTCTGGCAGGTCAAACAAAAGCATCACCTAAGTTAAATTTTTCTGGTCTTTTGGACATCAATGGGGTGCCATTTTCAAACAGTCTTTATAAAATCAGAGGTTTTGAAGTAGGATAACTATAGATATCTTGCCGCTATGCTTCCCTATAGAGTGTAGTCTTCTCTATGAAGTTAAAATAGCAGGGACTCCCAATTTTCACTTTTATCTCATCTATCTTTCACTTGTAATGGTACTTACCTCCTGGCCACAACCATTATCCAGTCGTGCTGACTCCTTAGTTACATGATTGTGTCAAATTTTCATGTAGTGGAAGTCAGAATAATTATTATCGGATGAGATGCGTAAAACTATGTTGAGCTTGTGTAAGCATCCAAATCCTGTGATTATATGGTTCTAGAGAAGTCTAAAAAATGAATTTGAATATTTTTTCTATCCTTGTAGAGGCTTAACTAGTTCTTCTACTTGTGCAGACAATATACTGAACTCAATAATGTTAAAAAAAAAAGTTTCTTTATGGTGCTATTAAGGACATCAAAACCATTATCTGGGGTTCTATATTCCTAGTGATGTTGTACTGTTTGGAAATGTGTATGCTTGATTCTCTTTTATGTCAAGGAAATCTTGTGGGGTCTTATTTAGATATATATGGTTCTAATTTCAAAGTACTTTTGTATGTAAAACAATGCATTTGGCTTTAGAAGCTTCTACACGTAGAAGGCAAAGGTATAAACATATACTCCCTCCATCCCATTTTATGTGGCAACATTTGACCGGGCACGGAGTTTAAGAAATAAATGAAGACTTTGAAATATTTACCAAGTTACCCTTTAAAAGTAGATTCATTTTTCTCTCTCCTCATAAATGTATTGGAGTATTATTTTAAGATTAAGTGGGACCAACAAAGGTAAAAGAGGAATTGTACCTTTAAATACTTACCATATAAGAAAATGTGACATTCTTTTTGGGATTGACCAAAAAGGAAATGGTGCCACATAAAATGGGACGGAGGGAGTAAAATGAAAGCTAACAAGATGAGCTTCTAGTGGAAAAACATTTAGACTGGAGCTAAACCAATATCATACATTTATTAGTTAATGACTTGATGAATATTTCTTCCTCTTTTCATATAGAATTCATATATGCATCCTAGTTTTGTCCAACTATTCTCTTGTATATTAGTGGTGCTTTTTTTGTAAGGATCTTCTACGTTAATGTCACACCTCTTTTTTTAATGGTTTCGGTGTCTGGATTCCGTTTTAGCCTCCTACAATGGAGGTTCAGCTTGAAAGCTAGATGTATTATGTTTAACTTACTTTGAATCATTCACATAGTAATAATAGAAAGTTTTCCACCCAAACTTCTAAAAGATATGAACTATCAACTTTCCTCGGTGGCAGTTGTGAGATATTACTAGCTCCTTCAATCTAAGAGGAAGTACATTTATAATTTAGGAAAATTTTGATTTTAGTAGAAACAATTGAATATATTATTGAAGTCATAATATTAATGCGAAGACAAGATTATACTTCAATGGTTGCTTGTTCACCTTTTTACTTGTCGCCACAAAACCCTGCTTTCAGGACTTGATGCTTTTCAAGCAGAGCAAGTGATGGAAACCTTAAGATACCTTGCACAAGATGGACATACTGTTATATGTTCTATACACCACTCTAGAGGTTCTGTGTATGCAAAATTCGACGACGTTGCTCTATTGGCAGGGGGCTCGCTCATTTATGTTGGTCCTGCAAATGATGAAGTACTAGCGTACTTCTTGAAATTCGGGTTTGTTATATGATCGATTCCCAAAATTACTTATATAATTTTTATAACCTTATAGTGCTTTGGTTCTCAATCAGGCATTATATTCCTGAAACTGTAGCTTATTTCTGCGGTTTGTTGTTCTGACAACATATATGTCTATATAGTGCCTATTAATTGAAACAAGTATTCTTCCAAGTAGAGCTAAATGTCCCTTTGATAAACTTGATGGTGATTTTAGTGTCACATTTTATTCTTAAACACATAGATATCAAGTTAGAATGTGGTAAGGCGAAAATCATAGATGTTATATCTATCTATTAGGAGAAGAAATCATTTAAAGAAGGGGATTCTTATAAGTAGATTACGTACTTCGATCTTGGAATGAGCATGAAGTAGCATGATAAGGAAATACCGTTTATGAATTTAGTGTGCGAGTTGCAACACTTAATGATGTAAACATATACTCTTGGGTTTTCTTTCTGGTTATTTTTATAGGGGAGGGTGTGGGGCGAGGGATGTGTAAATTTATGTTCGTGCACACATGAGTGCTTGTGTAAATTTATGCATTTAAGTTAAGCCATTGACATATGGATATGGAGCCAACTTAATTTCCTATGATTCATGTGAACTGAAAATTGGAATTTGTTAATCAAGTATTGATGATGGTTACTAAATGATAGGTACATTTGTCCAGATCATGTAAATCCTTCTGAATTACAGTACATACACTAGTCTAGTATGCTTTCATACTGTATAGCTTTCCACAGAATCAGTGTACAGGTTATAGAATCAATCTACAGTACATACAGTAGGTTATAGCTTGCACTAAACTCAGCTATACAGGTTATAAAATTAGTTTACAGTACATACAGTAGGTTATAGCTTGAACTAAACTCAGTTGTACAGGTTATAAAATCAGTGTACATGTTATAGAAGTAGTTTACAGTACATACAGTAGGTTATAGCTTGAACTAAACTCAACTGCTGCAATCTGCTATTATGAATTACTCTTATCACAACTTATCAAGAGAAGTAAAGAAAATAAGAACGACCATGTATATTAGATCAAAATCAGCGTACAGATTATAGAATCAGTTTATAGTACATACAATCTAAACTCAGCTGCTGCAATCTGCTATTATCAATTACTCTTATCACAACTTATCAAGAGAAGTAAATAAAATAAGAACGACAAAGTATATTAGATCAGAATCAGTGTACAGGTTAAAGTAACACAGCCCCAGGAACTTTAATACAACAACAACAACAAACCCAATGTAGTCTCATAAGTGGGGTCTTGGATACAGTGCTGGAAATTTTGGAAAGATTTACAGGACCCCTCTTTGGATTTTTCTCCTGATGCTACTGTTCTTTGGTCTGAAGTGGACTTGGAGTTGGCATTGATCTACTATTGGGATGGCAATGGGGCAGGTCAAGGGCGGGGCAATACTTAAACGGGACGGGGTGGGGCGGGGCAGGGCAGGGAAGTGAGAACAACACTTGCATTTTGGGTGAAAGAGTTTATAAGTCATAAAGTAATTGAAAGAATGGAACACACTTACATTGAACTTGCACTACAAAGGCTTCTCCCAAATCCTAACATATGAATTTTAGGAAATGTAACAGCCAAGAGACATGCTGTGCTTTCTTTTCTGATCATATATACCACAACTTACTCTTCATCAAATGATAGCAATGGTGAGGAAAGCGCATTTTACTTATGGGGAGAAGCAGAGAATTACAAAAGAGATAAATGGGGTAGATCAGGGCATGGCTTAGTGGGGTAGGGGAGGGGAAGAATCCCCAGTGGTTGATTCTTCACGAATCTGCTCCTAGCTTGCTCGAATTTGCAAATGCGATTGAGGCAGATTGTTGTTTAATATTGCTGGTGATGTATTGCACAACTTATGGCCATGGTCCGGTGGCCCGTCAAGTTTATGGAAGATTGCTATTAAATATTGCTGGTATCAGTATTTGCTGGTATATATGTATTGCGCAGCTGCTGCAATCAAGAATTTGTTCTTGGGAGACTTAGGTGCAAATATTTATTCTTTTTGTCTTCTAATTCTCTGTTGATACCATGACATTTTGGCACAAAATTTGTTCCTTTATACATCAAAGTAATTGGCATTTTGTGATGAAATTCTTGAATCTGTTTAGCACAAACTAAAGATGCATAAACTCTACAATACCTTCCAGTCACTAAAGATGCATAAACTCTACAATACATCACAGAAGTAAGTCAAAGAACTCCTTTAATTTCCATAAAACTTTTAGTCCATCTTGGTGGTAAAAGCTTATGGGTGGATTGTGAGAAAGGTTTCAAAAGTTCAACTTACAAACCTGGTGTATGTAATTCCACACAATGCACTTATTCCAATCCTAATTACTGTGGTGACTGCATATTGAAACCAAAATTGCAACCTTGATGCAACAACAATAGTTGTTACATTTGGGGTGAAAATCCCTTGATTGATTGGTTTGATGATAGCGCTGAAATTGCTGATGATGTATTTGTTATTGGTTCTACTCCTGGTGTTCGTGTAACTTTGTCGCGGTTCATTTTTTCTTGAATCTGATTATTCCTTTTGCTTCAACAAACTGGCAGTGGTAGAAAATTGCAGCACAATGCAATATACAGCTTATCAAACCAAGTGATACCGAGAGGCCATTTTTATGGACAACAAGTAAGTCCTTCAGTTTTCGGTAAAAATAAGAACAACAACATTTACTTTCTAGCTTTTATTTGCTTTATCTTCTTTTATGGGGCTAAACTTGTTCTCAATCATACTATTCAGCAAGAAGCCTTTCATGTTTACCATATGGGACAATCTAACGGACAATGAAGGGGTTGTACTACTACAACTATTGCACGAGCACACTGTTATTCTTGCAAAACAAGTAGTTGTTACAGCATACCATCGCGGTAAGATCGTCTTTCCTTAATTTATTTGATCCTGCTATGAATAATTTCTTTGCTTTACTTGTCACCATATGTTGTTCCCGCATCTCTAAGGTTGACAACTAGATACATTTCGACAATTTTAGTCAACCCTGTATATGTGCAAACTACTGCATTAATGGATTCGTACAAATTAACTTTCCTATCATTCTAATCCACCATCCTTCAAGTTATTTACATGTGGGGAAAAAAGAAAAGATAGTCATTTTTACCGTGGCTTTTAGCAGGGCAAAAGACAACGAACAAATGCTCTTCGCTTATACTTTGAGAAGCTCATTTGAATCATCTTCATCCCTCAATCTTGCATCGGTTGACAATGAAACAATATCTATCTCGGTCATTCCTTCATTGTTGTCTAGAATGAGTTTAAAATATGACTCACTTTCTTTGTCAATACTGACCAACTGCTCCATAGTGAGATTTCTCCACTAAAAAAAACGCTAATATCTCTTTTGAGTTGTGATCTGACAACAATAGACATGGAAACATTGGCTGAAAAAATATTAGCAATGAGAGCTGAACAAGTGTATG